TTCTATATATTCATATTTGCTTTGTTTCAGGCATCTTTCGGTGAACGCATTGTTGCATTTGCCGCGGTTGAAGGGATCTTTTTCTCCGGTTCCTTTGCTTCTATATTCTGGTTGAAGAAGCGAGGACTTATGCCTGGGTTGACATTTTCAAATGAGCTTATCAGCAGAGATGAGGTATGTATGTTTCTAATTAGTTTAGAAATTATATTACAGTCATTGATGGAGTGTCCCTGATAGTACATTCCTTGCAGATTTTGAGATTTTGTCTTACTGAAATATTTACAAAGAATATCCTTTAAAATATATGCTATAAAAACAAAAAACATTTACTTCAAGTGACATATTTCTGTGATAAGGAGGAAATCTTTTAGGTTATAATTTTGAGAATTAACCAACAATTGCCCATGATGGCAAAAACCACTGGGTGCTGACTTCTGTTGGAAACACTTGGTCAACCAACTTTTTTTATGTAGGGTGTCAACTTGTATTATTTTTTATTCACATCAGGGCTTACATTGTGACTTTGCTTGTTTGATGTACAAACACTTGAAGAATAAACCATCAGAGGAAAAAGTTAAAAAGATCATAATGGATGCAGTCAAAATAGAACAAGAATTTCTCACTGATGCTTTACCAGTCAGGTTAATTGGCATGAACGAAGACCTTATGAAAATATATATCCAGTTTGTTGCTGACAGGCTACTGGTTGCTCTTGGTTATTCAAAGGTAATATACCCTTATCTGCCGATCATTGAGCACAATGGTTTTTCCAGAAAAGACCCACCCTCCCGCAGAGGGTTGTGGTGTCTGGAGGGGAACGGTGTAGCATGAACTTATTGCATTTGTACAGGCACATTTTTGCAGGAGCTAAAAAATAATCTTCTGATAATAGTAAACATCAAAAGGGTTAATTTCCAATTTCCTCCTTGGAGGAGGTGGCACTTTCTTCTTCCCAGCAAAAGAGAGCATTCATTCCAGAAATACTTTTTTCGTTCTTTAATTAACAGGCCTTAAAATATCTTTTACAGGGCTGTCTGACAAAATGTCCGATGACGTTGAGTTTGGGTCGGACATATGTCCGATGACCTTCAGTTCACTTTTGACTCGGAAGGAAATAAGTCTGATTATTATAATTCTGAACACTAAGTGTTATGAAGATATTAAATAATTTGTTTCTTTCATACTTATTTCCAAGCCAAAATTAACTTGCTTGCCAGAAAAGTAGTATTAAAAAAGACTTCGACAACTCAAGCCCGTTTTCCACTTCACCATTTCGCTCGCCGCCCCGACTACGTTAAAACAACATTTCCAGTTCACCTTTATACAATAGTACTCAGGCTGATTTCCCATTTAACATACAAGCCTCTAGTTCTGGACTGGGGTACATTTTGATTTACGATGGACAAAGGCGACAAAGCTACAGTTCGGTCGGACACCAATACACTCGGGTCGGACAAACATTAAACCTCAGTTTCACTTAGGTCGGACAGAATGTCCGGTGGTTTCCTCTCTACGTCGGACAATTTCACGAATGCGTCGGACAATGTCCGTGACCGACCGATATTTTAAGGCCTGATTAAATGGGTTTTAGTCCAGGAAAAAGGACACTTTCACTTTTAAAAAAAGTTGGGGGGGGGGGCACATGCGGATGCCCCTATTGCCCTCTCCCCGCTGGCAGCCCCTGCGGGAAATGGCTTGTTATTATCTTTATACTATAACCTATTGATGCACTTTCATTTTTCTAACATTACTGCAATTTGTTTTTTTAGGTTTACAAATCTGAAAATCCATTCGATTTCATGGAACTTATTTCCCTTTCTGGGAAAACGAACTTTTTCGAGAAACGCGTTGGAGAATACCAGAAAAGTGGTGTAATGGCAAGCACGCAACAGAACACATCGCATAAATTGGAATTCGACTTAAACTTCTGAACATCCACAAATATAATAGAATATGGACAATTTATAGTGTCATTTTTTGAAACAGAAACATTGTATATATATTTTGTAACATTTTTGCAAGGCAGACACATTTCATGTAATATATTTTGATAATTCATTTTACGCACGTTTCATTTTCTAGAAGTATGTTAGTAAGTTCGGAAAATAAACCATAGTTTTTTCTAGGTAGTTTTTGTATGGGAAAATTTTGTAAACCTACGTTCAAACCTCTATTTTGTATGTAGTTATTAAAAAAATACGTTTTTATAGAAATTTTAATATTTTGCGACGACCATGTCATATTTCGTGAAAACATCGGAAAATAGTTCACTAAACTGCACAACAAAAGCCTCTTCACTGCAGGAAAGTAAACTAAATTTAAACTTTATAGTAGTTTATACTGGGGTATTTTAAACTATTCACTCTAGAATAAAAGTCGGGGCCTTTCATGTCGTGTGTAACATAGCCTGCGTTGCAGACTTCAAAACAAAAATAAAACTTGTGTTTTGAGTCTGCGACGCAGGCTAGTGTAACGGGGCATCCACAAGCTTTGAAAATCCTGGGAAGTCATTAAATTTCTTTCTGACGCCAGTAAGGCCCGTTTTATACGTCAAATTTTGGAATGCAATTAAGACAATAGATAATGAGATGATAAACCTCATTAAGCTTCATTATCTATTGTTTAAATTTCATTCGACGCGACCGAAATTCGACGTATAAAATAAGCCTAATACTTGAATTATTATTCATACTAAATCTGTGAAACTGTTCGCTTTTTCAGACACAATATAGTAGAAATATTTATAAGCCTAATGAGGATCGCGCAAATGAGATGCATGCTAGGCGCAACCCCTATACAGTGTTTCCAAAAGAAAAATCTTCCTTGACTCGTTTCGTTTTCACAGGCTTACTGTAATCCTTGAATTTACGTCGTCTTGTCACTTCTGTATAAAAGTCAAAACGAAACCAGAGTGAATCAAACTTGAAATGAAACTTATCAGAACACTTCCAACCCCATGCGTGCGAAATTAGCCACATTTAATTTTCGCAAGAACATGTGACCAGCGCGCACTTGCACACAGCCAATAAGCGCTCCAGAAATGAATTCGGTAATTTTCAATTGTTTATTTCGAAAGTCCATTGTCTCTATAAATTTTATTGTTTTGACTTCATTTCCTAACTGTAATCTTTCAAAGCCTACTTAATAGTACTTTAACACCTAGCTTCATCGCTTGTGTTTACACAAAATGAACGGAATTAAAAGTGATATTCACTCAGTGGGCTGTGTAAACGACGGAACGTGCGTTATTTATTGTCACTTTGACGAGGCTTTACTTTGGAAATAGCGCGTGCCCTTACACGATTTATCCACGAAAATCTACTTGAAATTTTGCGCAACAGCAGGGTGAACAGAATCGAACAAGTGAAGGTATATAATGTAGACTTTACTGTATATTTTTAATAAAAATTATTGCAATAATGTATATTTACTATGCCGAGTTTATTGAAGCGCTGTTCAGTATTGGGCCGATAATACAATTCACACTATTGCGAATATGTACAATGTACTAGCAAGAAGACTTTGCGATTTTGGCCGATTTTCTTATTCTGAAAATTAGAAAACACTAACGAAAAATACTAGTATATCAAAGTTGTAGATTAAATTTAGCAAATGTCAACTTTATTATTGGAAAGGCAAGCCGGGCGCGCTACAAAAGGACAAAAGTTGTTGACAATATTATTCGCTGAGTCGACAATTTATTAGCGCTGTACAGTTTATGCGTTCGGAATATCTCCAAAATAATGTGAATTAAAGTAGTTAGGCATGTAATTAAGTGAAATACGGTTCATTTATTTTTGCGATTTTCTGCGGAGGCGGAAATAGTTTAGATAAACACTTTTTGTCCAAAATGGATTGCAAAAGTTGTCTGTATTAGAATATGAAAATACGCAACTTCCGTGCGATATTAACGCGCCATTCTCGCTTTTGGTTTAAGACAATGTATGGAAAATATTGAAACACTTTGTCCCTTGAAATTCCTTATCGAAAATCTGCATAATTCTTTCAAACTTGCGCACCTGTTAATTAAAAATTGACTAGCGTGTTCTTGCGTGTTGCAACGTGTGATATCGCGTTCTTTCGAGACGGAGTGACGGACATATTTCATTTCAAAGCGAGACATAGCTAATGCTTTTGAATATATAAATCATAAAAATGCGCAACCGATTGCAAATTTTGGAGGTGTCTTTTGTTTCATAATCATTTAAATCTCCCAAAGTGGTGTTCATTTGTTTGGAAACCGCCGAATTTGTTCCGGCGCTGTGTTGAAAAATGAAGTAAAAATGCGTTGTTTATTTTACACAGTGCGCGAATAAGCGCAGTTGAAGTCACACATTAAATATTCACAGAAATAAGTTCCTATACCGCACACCTTGTACAACACGCGTTTACAACTAGAATTTTAAATTTTTGACAAGAACAAGCTGGTAGCAAACCAGATGGCATTTAAACAACATGTCATGACTACCAGTACAATAAATTCAACAATTGTATTAAAATATGTCTAAAATTAGTACATTTCAGAAGCAACAATCAACATTGCATTAAATTAAGATTTGCGTTGTACAAATTAATTTTCATTCCGTTCAAATTAATTTTCATTCGCACCAATTTATTTCACAATGCGATGTTTTTGCGCAGTTTCAATTTCGTTCCTTTTGAAGCGAAGCATGCACAACTTCTGAGGTTTATGTGTGATTTTCTAAATCTCACTTACTGTGCAAAACCCTGGTTAAACGGGGATGAGAGTTGAGAAGCGAGAGTTTGCATGAGAGTTGATGAAAGTTGACTGGATATTACCGCGCGATAGCGAAAACTTTTATCAACTCTCATTCAAATAAATACGAGTACAAAACTGAGCACCATAATATATACCAGCCTTACTTTTAGGGTTATAACCTGCAAATCAGGCATATTCCACGTTCTATTACCATGTGTGCGCGCACCGGCTAAAAAAATTGCTTGCAAATTTTATGCAGATTAATTCAAAAAATCGCCATGTCGTTTATAACATTCACGCTGCTTATATAATCTGGGACACAAGCGAAGAAAATTTTGATATTTAACGGCATAAAACAGAAGATTCTCTTCGCCTAAACTTTTACGAAAGGTAAGCACTATTTCACTAGAACGTCCGTTTCGAGAAGGCGCCATTTTTTCGTACGCTTTTTTACAATAAAGTACAAATATTTTCACTGTTTGTGCGGGCATAAACGTGGCCGAGTCGAGCAATACTATCACTTTAGATTCCGCTTCGTTTGATAAAAACGTAGCGATTATTTTCAGGGCTTTTAACAGCGTTGAGTTCGTAGCGAAAAGCGAGTTTTAGTTGCGAATTCTAGCTGTTTTGGATGCGTCGAAACGCCGTTTCACATCGGTTCTGCCAAGCTGTTTGAAATTTGAACCGGGGAAATGCGAATATATAAATTTCGCCAAACGTTGGCGCGCATTTGCCATGTGACTTTAAAGGAGTTCTGTTTTGTTCACGCTCTCAATTTGAACATTTTAAACATGATTTTAAGCAAGAGACTTTAATATAAAACGAAATTCGTTTCGCCAAACGCCAGCTAATACGAGACAAGCATAATTTTTATGAAGGGCATGTCTTGACTATATTTTCCGTTTGCCGGTTTTGCATACATTAGAATATCGTAGCAAACAAAATTCTGTATTTCGACGGATAAAACGCTACGCTTTTGAAAGGAATTGTAGCATAAAGCGAACAGAATGCTGAAAAATATTGATAGCGCATTGAAAATTATCTTCCTAATAGCCTCGCGTCTTGAATAACTTTCAACCTGAGCGAACGCATATGCATTTCAAGCCGTATTGAATATTCAAAATGTTTGCTGCGTGTATATATAGTTCATTATTGCCGATTTAAAATGAAGTCAAGAGGGCATATTTCTACTTTTAGGCAAACACTAAAACAGTATTTCGCTTTAAACTATGTTTTCATCGAAGTAAAAGCGAGCTACAAGCGTTTAAAATGGTTTCGAGTCGCTAACCCGAACGCTGTCGAATTTTTTTGTTGGTAATATATTCCGTCGACATGCAAATTTCATTTTAAACATTCTCTTTCGATTCCTTTCAAGAATGCTGGTAAACAAAACATTTTATGAAATAACCATGGAATGAATGTGGTACAAAGCCAAAGAGCGTTTGAAAGTTTTATATTTGGACGTTTTTCAAACTGCAAACGAAAATTGGTTTCGAACGACACGACACGAATATTTGAAACGCTTCGGTTCGCTACGGTTTTAGCTCTTTGTTATGAAAATATGAAGTGTTTATTGTAATAAAACGCTGCATTGTTGACTTTCCCAATGATACCTTAACCACAGGATTACGATTTCCAATAATTTGCCTTTTTGAAAGTTTCCACTAGTCTATTTACGAGACGTTTTTTGCTTACGCGGCAAAATACCTTCATCATGCTCAGATTATTGGAAATTTTTAGTAAATTGTTGCGAAATTAAACAGTATATTAAGTCTGTTTGCTGCGCGTTTTGGCAACGGTTTTGCTTCGTTCTCTTTAGAAATTAACAATGTGAAAACTTGTCCTATTTTTCAGCTATAATGCCAGCCATTTCCACTTGCAGAATGAGAAAATATCTTCATAATTTTATAGTCGCTTAATTGGAGATATAAAAAATGACATTGAAATTGATTTTTGATAGCTTCTACATTTCACTATTGATCAGAATTTCAGATTACTTTTCGAGGGCGTAAAGGGATTATATGGCTTTGCTATTTTTTAACTGTTCGCGCGTAGGCAAACCTATAGCGCGTAAAATCGTCTGCAAATTTCTCATCTTACTGAAAGGGCGCTCATGCAACTAATTAAAAACAGTTTCTTGGTCATCTAGCTAACAACGCGCTATTTATTTGAATTTGTTTTTCTAGGAATTCTAAATGTCTCATTCGTGTGCTGTGCACAACAAGACAGTCTCTCTAACCATGTGAGTCTTGGTTTAATTTTTGTGTGTTTAAATGGTACCATAAATCATTGGTTATGATATATATTTATTTCAAGCTCTTATTTTTCAATTCTTGATTTCTGTAGGGAGAAATCTGTCCAGTGTGATAATGTTGATGATGATGTTAATTTGGGTGATACTGAAAAAGGTAAAATAACGTTTTAGTTAGAAATGTCACTAACAAGAGTGCTCTTTGGAAGGTGCTGTAAAAATGTCCATGTACTTCCCCATAATCTCAGTAGATTTCACTATTATTATGAGTACATTTACCCCACTTCTTCCCCAGACAATAATATTTTTGTCTGTGGGGGTGAGTGTTTGTCTTTTCTGGAACAAGGCTTGCTTCATAAAGTCCACTTCATAAGGGGGCTTGTTTCTTGGGGCCCGTTGGGGTCACAGGCCCCTAGAATCCTGGTGGGATGTGCTTAACTCCTGGTTATCAGTAAATGTTTGGATGCTCCACAACCCCTCCCCCCAACTTGTTAGGCACACCACCAAATAAATATTATGATCACATTTATTTAAATAGTATCAGTATACACAGATGTGGCCTAATTGTGAGAGACGTCATCATCCATTTGGTCTATACAGCCACTGTGCTTTTGTAGTTATGCTATGATTAAACAAGAACACTATATTGGGAGGGTGACGGGGGAACAAGTCCACCCCCCCCACTAATTTCTAATCCCCTTATGGCCCTAACGACTTCCCAATATTGATAAAATGACAATGATATTTCATAGGTTCTAAATAAGGCAAATTTCATTATTGTAAGCAAAAAGAACTTAAGCCAAGAATTAGTACTGCAAATTTTGTTGGCAATACAAACTAAGCATTGCTTTTTGAGTGAGCATTCTTTTAATTTTTTTTTATTTTTTCTAAAGAAAACCAGGAAATACATGTCAATCTGACTGACAATGTTATGACCAACATTGCAATGATGACCAATAGCCATGCCCCACTTCCTGCAACAACACCAATTGATGCAAGCATTGCCACTGACAAACTCCAACCACTTGTAAAAGCCATTTCTGAAGAAAAGCATGTATTTCAGCCAAATATCCTTGGTAAAAGAGTGAAAGATGACATCAATTTGGAAATTCTAAACTTTTATTCCCTGAAAGATAATAACCTGAGCTTCTCACTCAACCCGAAACCTGCAAGCCTGGTGACGGTCATGAAGTATCAAGGAGGTGAATTTGTTGAGGTAAAGAGCTCGTCATCTTATAACAGCTCTATGTGTCTACGTGACATGAAAAAAGCCATTTCTGCAGCGTTGGACTCCTGTATTACCCAATCAAATGCTGAGGAGGATGTAGTGCCCAGCCCACCTCGGCCAAGTCCCAGACGAGATGTGACGGCCGCCGAAAACAGTTCACAAGGAAAGAGCGTCAGCCCTAAAAGCACACCTCCCAAGAGGGTAGTTGAGGATAATACAGGGACAAGTGAGGACATTACAAGTGTATCTGAGGGTAGTAAGGGTCAAACTGATTCTCCTAAGAATAATATAGGATCCAAAGGCACGCATACAGGATCGAAAGGTGCACATACAGGATCCAAGGGCACACATACAGGATCCAAAGCTACGCCTGAGGTTCCGAAGCTATCAGAAAAGTCAAAGAAAACGCCAGAAAAAGCAAAACAAAAAACCACAGAAGTGCCAAAAGAGAAACCTCAACCCGCCAAAGAGAAAATTGAGGAAAAGCCAGAAAAACCAGCACAAACCAGAGTGAAAAAGATAAAGGTACCTGATGAGGAATCCATTAAGTTTGCAAACAGACAGCGAGAAATCCAGAAAATGAAGAAGGAATTGAAAGAAAGATTGAAACGGGAAGGAAAAGACGGTAGGGAAGATTTTTAGTATTAACCAATTCAGCTGCAATACACCCTGATGCACCCTACTTTACTATTTTACTCTGTCTAATGCCAGAGTATTTTACTCTGTCTAACGCCAGACAATTTGACTTGTCAAGTGGAGAGTGCTGCCACTCAATGGGTTAACCAATTCAGCTGCAGTGCACCCTGAAAGACAAATTTGGCCAACATTGTTCACATTGTCGCTACCCGACTCACAATTTTAGATAACTCTCATGACTAGTTACTATTGTTCTACAATCTTGGACATAACTGGTTGAGACTATTTTCCCCTTATAGAAAATTCACATATTTTTTATGATAAACTCCATGTTCAATCATGTTGCGCTCCTTAGCCGTCACTCCCCCAACTCAATGTTGAGCTTGTGTCATGGTATATTACCAAAAGTTGTTTCGGTGTTGTTCACAACATTGAACTGGGGGGGGGAGACAAAGGTTGTTTTGTCAATGTTCAATAACTTTGTAATATTGGTTGGAACAGTCTCAAGGGTTTTGCGGCTTTTGCCCAAGATTGTAGTTGACAGAAACATAGAATAGGACAAAGGTAACTAAGTTTTAGAATTCTGTGTAAGAATTATTCACTCATGTAGATAATTATTCTGAAGTTTAGTTACTTTTGTTTTATTCTATGCTTCTGTAAACTAGAACAATAATAACTATACATGTGAGTTTTCAAAAGTTGTGAATTTAGAAACAAATGTTGGCCAAATTTGTCTTTGCCCCCTACAGTACATTACTTTACTCTGTCTGATGCCAGATGATTTTTATCCATCAGGGGGTAGCATGCAAAGCAGATGTTAAACAGCAGGTCATTGTTGTTTGTTAAAGGGTTAACTAGACACATAGGAAGATCAACCCATTGAGCACCAACACTCTCTACTTGATGAGTAAAATCATCTGGCATTAGACAGAGTAAAATAATATAGTAGGGTGCAATGCATCTTAATGGGTTAATTAACCCTTTAAGTGGCAATGCGCCCAGATGCACCCTACTTTATTATTTAACTATGTCTAACGCAAGATTATTTTGCTCTGGCTAACGCCCCCCCTCCCCCCCGTCCCTCTTCCAATACTAATTGTAAGGGGAGGGGATAATCTATTAAAAAGTTGAATGCACCCTATGCTAATGTGGTCTACAAAATTATTTCACTCTGTCTAACGCCAGATTATTTTAGTCTGGCTAATGCCAGACGATTTTACTCCTAAAGGGGAGAGTGCTGACTCTCAATGGGTTAAAGCTTTCGCCATGATTGTAGGACCGCCGAATATCTTACGCGATTTATTCATTTCCAACCACCGCGCTTAACTGAAAATTTCTCAACCACAGCTTTATATTCCAATGACCTGTTTCCATGATTGCACAGATACAGTCTAAACATACCAGTTACCACAAAACAATTGCATAGTCCAATTTTTCCAGTTAAACAATTCGTTTGCCAGTAAAGATGTCCAAACGCAAGTACTATGAGCGACAAATTAAAATTTATGCGGATCTTCAGGCTCTTTGAAACAAAACATAAAATAGGTACACTATGGCGTACGTATCTTTAGCTCGACTCTGTAGTCCAAGTAACGCTTTTCGACTTGAATTAAATAGTACCGGCGTGGCCGCGTGGCGTGTGTAAAGTGAAATACTTGTAATTAATTTAATCGTTTTGCACTCTGAGTTTAGCAAAACGACCGTCATTTGGGTCTGAACTGCCGGGAAAAATCAAAAACATTTCTAATGTGTTTTTAATCTTTTTTCAAGTAGTTGAGACACAAACCACGGCACAGTTAATATTGTATTTGTATCATATTGTGGAATACGCACTCGACTTGTACAATTGAACGATTGATTTAGCAAAACTTACCCATTCAATGGTCATTTACACTGATAATTTTTTGTTGCGAGACTTTCGCAACATATGCAAATTAATAAGTTCTTTGTAGGTTTTTGCATGGCGATAAAACATATTATAATAATACTTTGTGTTTGTGGAAACATATAGTACTTTTTGTTTGTTATAAATTTACGTGGTGTTTCCCACAAACAAAAAGTATTATATAATACCTTATTGAATTCTGATCGTTTAATTGGCTGTTTATGGTCACGTGATATTGAATAGAAAATTCCATTTTCCAAGAGTGCAATGGAATACGTTCCATTGCACTCTCTGCGAGTGCAATGGAATAAAACGTATAACAATTGCACTCTTTGTGTTTTCGATAAATCGCATCCTTCAAAATGCTTCTCATACGAATCTATTAGTCTATTTTGGTATTATATAAAACAAATAATGAATGTTTTTTCGTGCAATGGTGATAAATATTTTCATTCGGTGAAAGATGGAATGTTCCATTCAACTCGGCTGTCGCCTCGTTAAATGGAACATTCCATCTTTCCGCACCTCATGAAAATATTCTTACCATTGCACTCATAAACATTCATTATTTGTATATTATATGCAAATTAGTGATTACATATTGCTCCAAGTAGTTAACGAGAAAAGGAGAATTTCGTCGCGCTAAAGTGGTCTCCAATCAGTATTGTTTATGGGGCCGCGTGCTGGCTACATTGGTTAATCTTGCTTATTTATTAAGGTGTCGATCCAGCCACACGTATGAACGCCTGGGGACGAACAGTTGGTGTCACGTGCACAATGTGTGGTAATCACGTGCAAAAGTCATACGGGTGTTTCCGACGTGACACAGCACCGGCGAAACTGGTTCATCTCTTTACGCCTGGTATGAACCGCATCAAGATATGTCGACGATGTCTGCCGTATAAAAAACAAGCAGGGAAACCTGAACAAGAGAACAGGGTGGTAAAGCCCGGCTTAATGTCCATGCCTAATAACCCCGAGGGATTAAACCCAGGAACTAATACCCCAATAACAATAGCTCCATTACCTGACAAACCGGTTTCAGCCACGACCTTGAATGCCATCCACCGTAAGGTTACTGGGCAAGAAAGTACTGCTCGTGAAAACACCGCTCGTGTGAATATTATTGCTAGTCACGTGAACAATCCTGGTCTCATGAACAATCCTGCTGGCCTCGTGAACAATGGCTCTGGTCAAATGAACAATAGCGCTGGTCACATGAACATAGATTCCGCGCACGTGAACACTGATTCTGTTCACGTGATTGATATGACAGCTCCAGGCATGCCATCGGAAATAGACTTATCAGGAGAGTCAAGCAAAGGCTCGGCAATAGAGTATATCAGAAAACTGGCGCTGAATCTGAGGACCAATTACAACGGGCAACAAGGAGACGGCAGCTTGGCGGGCAATCAAGATCTAGTGACCCCAGAGGAACAGATTATTAAAACACCAATACTTGAACATCTGTCCAACTTCACCCCTGTAACACCATCAATGAATTTGGCAAATGAAGTGACAACAAGTGTTAATGTGCCTGGTGCTCAATCAGCACAATGGAAACCTGTTTTAAACCAAGTTATACCAGTTAACCAACCGATTACTCCTGAAAATACAACAGGTTTTGTACAAAGAAGTGAAGGGAATGTTATACCAACCCCACCTTGGACCAGCTTACCTATTGTTCTTACCTCCCGCGGCCAAGTACCACGTGGTTCAAAGAGTGCACCTATACAAACCTTTGTTACAACGGCCAATCAGAAAGATCTAAAGTTACTTCCTGCAATCATGGTGCCATCCCAGAGTGCATTGCCGCGACAAGGTCCAGTCGTGCTCCAGATTCAGCGTGTAAAGTTGGTACGCGACCGGCCGCCTGGAGAGAAGGCAGAGAGCAAAGGCAAGACAACAGAGGACAAAGGTATGTGAGTTTAAATATTTTTAAGAACTGAATAATTCATGTGGAAAGACAAAGAAAATCACTACCTATATGTGATAAAAAAATCATGTTCATTTAATCATTTACATAAACTTTAGCTTTCATTTTCTCCGCTTAGACAACGTTTTATTTTAAAATTACTTTAACGCTCGCAGTTCGTGCTTTATCAGATATGAAATACTTGAGCTGTGCTCTCGCGTTTTATACCTGATAAGTGACAAAATACTCCTGCTCGTGTTTTAAGTAGTACCATGGATTGTAAAATAACTGGATAGGAAACTTCCTGACGTCACAGTCTAAACCTAGTTGCAATCTGTGACGTCACGTGTATTGCCAAAGTTCTCAGCATTTTTGTTCGGTTTCGCACCTGGAGAAAACCCACGACTTTCGGCAGAGCGTTGACTGATTCTTTCCACATGAGTCTATAGCTTGTATTTTTCAGTTAATTGAATCCCTCTCAATGCATTTTTAGATCTAACCTGACCAAAAGAATGTTTCTTTTCCAGGCAAACAAAATGAAATGGTTGAACAATCTGAAAGTGGATTCCGTATAACAGACTTTGGTGGATATACTGGAAATATTTCAACCGGAAGCCATCAACCACTACCTGAAGAAATTTCGTCAACCGAAGTGGAAAATTCTATAAGTAATTTTCTATCGCAAGCTAAAGAAATTTCACCTGCACAAGTGCAAACACCAACTCATGGTAATTTTCAAACCCTGACTGGTGAAATTTCATCTGCCCAAGTTGAGGCTTCTACTGTTGATCTTGAGTCAATAGCTGGCGAAATGGTGTCGTGTGATCAAGTGGGAACATCTACTGATGACATTAAAAAAATAACAGAAGAAATCGCGTCTTTGATTGAGGACGCGAGTGGATATACACAGGATAAGGACGCGAACATGGTGGATGCAATAGGACATTTGGGTACAGAGCAAGACACAGAGCGTATTGGACAAGACCAGTCTGAAAAAGCATCAGAAACTTTGGATATTGTGGACCCCAAAATCTTGGAAAGTGGTTTCCTTCAACCAAGTGAAGGTCTAGGAGACCAAATACTTACATCTGGAGGTCTGGGGATCAGTTATTCTCAGCACGAGCCTGCTGTCGTACTTTGTGGGTCAGCGGATATTACAAGCCAAGATGCAACAATGTATCCAAGTGGATATGAGATGAGTCTAGATAGAGATGGTGGTCAAGGAGGGATACTTGGAGGTTCCACGAACAGTTGTGTGCGGAATATATTTGAAAGTCAAATTTCTGAAGAATATTTACCACAAGCGAATGATGAAAAATTGAATGAAAGAAGCAAGGTGAATGACGTTGATCTCGAAAAACTGAATGAAATGAACAAATTGGAACAAGAAGCTGTCACGGAATCTATCAAAGACAGTGGTTTGTTGCCTGAAGATGACCATTCGGAGGAGAAAGAATTGCCTGATGTTCATGATGTAAAGAGCGCTTCTTCTGACGTCTCGGAGAGTAAAGAAAGTAATTTGAGTGAAAACGAATTGCAGGATATCGCAAGTCAAGATGAGAAATTGGAAGCAACGGGGGAAGAGTTTTCTATGGAAATGAAAGAAGATGCTCCAAAAATAGAAGAAAGAAAAGAAGACGTTGAGAAAGAATCGTCACAGAAAGATGGAAGTCAGGGAGAAGTCAGAAAAGATAAAACTGATTCAAATACTACAACAAAAGCGAGCGAGAAACAAGCGAAAGCGAAAGAAATAAGGACTAAAATAGCCGCTGAAGAAAAATCCATTTCCTCTACTCTGGCAATTGACGAGAATATTACATTGGACCTGAGGCGAAGCCAAAGACGCACTGCAAGTCCAAGAAAACCGAGTCCAGGTAAGAGTCCGGCGAAACAAATTGAACAAAAAGTTCATGGGACACGACAGCAAAGGCAGAAACAAGCAGAACATGGGGCGCAGAAGGATAAGCCAGGACCACAGGCTGCGCAGAGGGGTAAGACGGAACGACAAGGATCACAGAAGGATGAAAAGGAACCTGAGGCAACCCAAGGGGTGAAAAGAAAGAGACAAGGTCGCGGGACAAAGCCAGCTAAAGTTCTAAAACAATAAACAAGTAAACCAAATTAAGAGTAGAGACGCAAAATCGCGCAAAGCGTGTTGCCTTTTAACATTGAATATTTTGCAGATATTCAGTAGAGTTCTATTTGAACTATGTCTATGAAAGATTTAATTTCATATATCTCAATTTAAAGTTGAGTATTACTACGATAAAGAGAATGCCAAGCACTTTGATCTACTGCCGTCGTTCAGAAAGGGGGTTGGCTTTTTCAACACGAATACATCCTCCACGAAAATTCAGTCTTCCCTAAAAAGCGTTTTCCACATTCAGACAGCCTTTTGTGTCTGTTTAATTAATTTGAGCAAAATTTAACTGATGAGATTTAAAACACGTTAATTTTTATTTGCTATTGCGCGATGAAAACATGTTGAATAATTGATGGAAATCCATAGATTTTTCCCGTTATAAGTCACTTTCTGAAAAGAACAGAGTGTTTGTACATACACAGGTGGTAGATAAGTGCTTGTTTGCGCATTATTCTGTAATATTTATATTTATCCTAAATATTCCTCAAACGAGCTTGATATCTTTTTCTCGTTTGTTCGTGAAATATTGGAATGCGACCAGTTTTGATACGTTGTCACATATCTTAAAAAAGAGTTTCCATTTTTTAGCCAATATTGAAACATGTTATGCTTGAGTTAGTAGTACATGAGTGTCTTATAAATTATAGTGGGACGTGACGTTGCTATTCTTTTTTGTAAATATGCCATTGGCTGTGTTTAGAAATTAAATACGTAATATAGTTTTGTGAATGTTGAGTTTGATTTTTTATACTAACCAAAGGGGTCAATTTACTTGATTTTATACTTAAAGAAAATTTGCAATGTTCTCTTGCCAAACTTCGTGCTGGCTACGCCCCAAGCCAAGTGTTAGTGGTGGACTTCTGTGTTGCACTGCATCGAATGCTCTGGATGAACACAGTTATATAAACCAAAGCTATCTTCACCACCAAGTAAGCACCATTTCGGATTTTCCACTGTAAACTCACATTTTGTCGCAGACATTCTTGCATCGATATAAAATGGATAAACTGACGATTGATACAACACTGCCGTGCAATTCGAACAATGGTACCCTCGAATGTTAACATAATCTACCTTCTTGCATATTCCAAACCCATTGAACTTCATGATATCAACATCCGCTTTCGAACCTTGCATAAAATCTGTCTTTATCGCTGTCAAATTCTTATCAAAATCACAAGTGACGCGCCATTTAATTGAATCGCTTTGTATCGATTCCATGACAGCCTTACCGAGACGATATGAAAACCAGGAGTTTTTTACGAAATTGTTCCGAAGTTTGCCAACATTTTGGGGAAAATCTGTGTAAAATGGTTTTTGGTACATTTTATTATGTTCTAAGCTGTATGATTGCATTAAAGTCCACGAAATGTTCGAATCTTTTTCAAAATCACAAAAAACTTTGAGCGTTTTATTTTTGTCATCATGACTCGGGCGTATATCGTAGATCCCCGGGATGCGGGATCCGTTGGCGTAGCCTCGGCACGAGGTTATCCTGGTCTGGCAATGTTCCCCGGTGTAGCCTGACGCACATTTGTCACACTGTTTCCCTGTGAACCGCTCCGGGCATTTGCACTTGAAACGAGCTCGGATATCTTCCGTTGGCGCACACGTGGCATTATTATAACATGGGTTTGATGTTAGACAGCAATTTATTGATGATCTGCATTGCCCCATGGCATCACAATGTTCTTGCGGCTTCTGTTTGAAAAAAGATGAATAAAACTGGTTACTTACTTCGCCTTAATCGGTATTTGTGAATTGTTCTTCAGAAAATTTTAATTGGTTTCATTGTTGTAAATGTAAGAAACTCGGCAATGGCTTCTGTCCCAAAAAAAACGAAAAATTCATTTTTGCATTGAAATTGGGCCTTGAAAATAAATCTGAATTGCTTAATTCGCACTTTTCTAGTCTTTTGTGTGTTTCGCTTATACAAATGGAAATTATTGGGGAGGCTCAAACCCCTTCCCCAGCCCCCCCCCCCCCCCCCCCAGCTTCTGACGACCTAATGAAACGACTATACCTCAATACTTATTAACAAGATAATGTTACCTGTTTGATGTCAAAATGGCTGTACCCATTTTGTGGTTTTAATGTTTCATTTCGGTGACGTCGGAGATAACAGTTCATGTCGGCTTCACGAATATCAAACCGTGAGCATTGGCAGTCGCTGACGCAATGTTGAAGACACTCTGAGATTGATCTCACAGTTACTTCTTTAATTTTGCCCAATGACTGCATCACGTTGGCGTATTTCACCAAAGTAAATCCTTGTTGGGAATTAACTTGCGTCATTTTTACAAAAACAAGAAGGAACAACCACGGCATTCTGTAAAGATATGAAAGAATTTACAATTCTCAAAAAACAAATCGACTAATATTCTCATGACAAGAAATTGTTCTGAGATGTTCTCCCCAAACGTTCCCAAAATGTTTGCTGTGGTACACGAACTAACCGTCACTAAATTTCATTTAATTTTGTTGACTATAACTTTACTGAAAAATTGAGTCCATAATTTTACTAACATTTTCGGCGCATTGTCATGATATAAAGACTGAGATCAATCTATACATCCATGCATGGTCATCCATAGCTTGAGCCCGCCATAGGGAAAGGAAGGAAATGTAACACAATTCAACAATTCCAAATTGAAACAATTTTTTATCAGAATTCGCAGAATTATAAGACTACCAGTTTATAGATTATCACAAACGTTCCATTAAAAGTATATTAGTATACATATCCTTGGTAACTACTGTATATTAAATGTTACACAAATTGAAATAGATTAATAATTTTTCATCAGTTGGACAGCGCTAGCTTTAATTTTTTAGGACTTTGCCTTCGGTTAAAATGGTTAAAATGCGTCGGACAAGCGTCGAACGGAACGCTAGCGAAATAAGTTAAAAACCAAACTATTAAAAAATAAAGTTATATTTCGTCAGTATTATAACATCAGTTAAAATCGTTTGTGAAATTTCGGTTATTCTTTTTTCTTACCTTATTAATGCAGTTGCCATTTTTCGCGCATTTCAATGCTTAGTCATAGACGACACTTGACGCGCTAGTACTGATAATATGAAATAAAATTGTTGCCGTGCCCAGTGAATACAAATTACTATTTCAAAAGCAATATTTCCGTTCTGACCGTTCTGTGCTTGCGATGAAAAGTAACGAATGAATAATTAAAAGTAATAAATCGTCACTTGTCTATGTGAATTTCAATCTATTTTAATTCAGCTTTAATGGTTACAGTTCATACTCATACTTTAAAAACAACGTTTCAACCATCACAGGGTCATCACAGTACAGTCGGTTCTAACTGAAACTCTGCCGGATCTGTCATTTCCCTCAAACATTTCTTATAAATCCTTCAAAACTGCTATACAAAATTCCTACTGTGATCACAGAAACTTTGATAGCGCCAACATCTTAATATCTGTTCGATCAGAAGTGTCCGACTTCAATGTGATTTATAACGTGAATCAATAAACGTAATTTATATTATAACTTGACAGTTTCAAGCACCGCGGTCTGATATTTGAAGTAGCATGGCTGCGATTATTATTCTTTCACTTGTCCTTTTCCCTCCATTAGTCGAGTGTTTTGTTCTGAATCGGTATGACGGCAATTAAAAGCTAGCGAAGGTGTCGTTTTGCTGGCAATGTAATATTTCATGATATTATCACACTATGCTAGGGTAATAGTGCATGGGAAGGGGTGACGGGCAATTCACCGTCGTCTCTCAATATGAAAGCTCTGGGAACGAGGTTTGGGTGAGGGGATGACCTGCAGTTAGAGCTTGACAACTGGACTCTGTAGCTCAGTTGGTTAGAACGCTGCACCAGAATAGCAGGGTCGGTCTATAGTTGCATTTTTCCCAACTGTTCCTGATTGGGTCCAGGTTCTCAAAATTTTCATTTACACTGAAACCCTTCAATGTCCAATCTCGTTCCCCGAGCCTGCGATCCTCGGGAAGGAACGTGAGGCTCTGGGATAATCCGTTTCAGGGAGGAATCTGATTGGCCGTTGACATCGAATGCGCAGTTCGGTCTTAGCCAGGATTCCTGGCTTCCGGCAACGGATTATCCCAGAGCCTCACGTTCCTTCCCGAGGATCGCAGGCTCTGGGAACGAGATTGTACAATGTCGTGTCACCTTGTGTCACCGATTAAAATTGCGATTGTTGTGTATTGCAGGAGCCCTGGGCACGGGGGGTAACTGACCAAACATTGCGAGGGCAGGTTGCCTTCTGCCGACGAGAATCACACTACGAAAGTCGCGCGTTATTCACATCAACACACTTTCGATAATTACGTCACACATACATTTTGGTCTTGGAGCCTCGCTCTCATTAGTAAATTACGCAAGGTGATTGGCTCACGATTCATGAGAACGAGACTCCCAGGCCAAATGACGTAATTATTTGAAGCAATCAAGTATTTGTACAGCAACATTTTAACGAACATCGTTTCAGAACTTCAGGATAATATCGTACGATCGAGATTGAAGTTCATGGCGGATCCGGGCCACAGAATAGAAACCGTACAGAATACCGACTTACGCTTACGAGAGCCATTCGCCCCCCTGAAAATATTCAAAATAATGCACGTTCAGGGGGTAAATGCCTCTTGTACGCGTACTGACTAGGAACATGGCGAGTGTATTTTGAAGACGAATCATTGCGTAGTTACGTAGTTACGCTTTTTGTCTCTCTGCAAGGCGCTCTGTAAGGTTTACATTCTGTGTAAATTTAGTGATTGGATTTATGAAAATTAGAATTATAGAATGCCCGTTCGCAGGCAACCACCTAACAGGCATACGATGGTATGCCCGTTAGGTGGTTGCCTGCGAACGGGCATTCTATAATTCTAATTTTCATAAATCCAATCACTAAATTTGTCAAGAAAATGTTGGATTATCATACAGGATGGCCATTTTTCCTGGTGGTTTTATCAAAACTGGTACTTCTTACAGTAACATTAGTTTCCATCTATTTCCTTCGTCCTGTTTGGTTAATACTTGCTTGGACATGGTAAGATAATGTAGATTTCAAATTTAATCAAATATATTGATATGTTGTTGTAGGTGGATTGCAACCAATCTCTTGAGAATAATACACCCTTCCGGAAAGTATGCCACTTTGGCTTTAGTTAGAGCCTCGTTTCTGTGTATGTGACATTAGTTAAAGGCTAATGTCTCAATCACGAAAATGAGATGTAACCAAGGTGACATACTGTCCAGAAGCGTCAAGCGTGTGTTCAAAGATGATAAAGCGGCAGCCATTGTGGTGCTAAATTCCATGAATTAATTGTCTGTGCCAGTGTAGGTAGTGCCAATAATATTAACAAGCTTTCGTTGGTAGAGATGCAACAACCTGAAAAATATAAGAACAATTTGAATGTTTTGAGCGAAGGCCCTTCGTCTGAGTTACTAGCGCAAATGGCCTTTGCTCGAAACGTTGAAATTCTCCTTATATTTCTCAGGCAGTTGAATCCCTACCAATGAAAGCTTGTTACAGTCAAACCGGATGTTCTCTTGCGAGCAACATTGCAATATTGCCCCACAATATTGCAATTTTGACAGGCAGATTGCTCTGAGCAAATTGCAACCAACGCAAACAAATTGCAAGTTGGAAATTCACAAAAGATTTGTAAACAAAGCTTCTGATTGGATTATAAGAAAGAGGGAAGCCAATCAAATAGTCTGAGCAACTGGATTGGTGCATCCCTCTTTCTTATAGTCCAATCAGAGGCTTTATTTACAAATCTTTTGTGAATTTCAACTTGCAATTTGTTCGCGTCGGTTGCAAATTGCTCAGAGCAATCTGCCTATCAAAATTGCAATATTGTGGGACTTACATTTCCATTTGATAGGTATAGAACATGGCGAGCAGGTTTAAAAAAACACCATCTTAAGATCACGGACGAACTACAAATTGCATATTTAGAAAGGAAAGGCAATATGGCAAATAGTGAAGTTTTGCTGTTTGTTCATGGCTTCACTGGTGACAAAGCAATCTTTTGTGACGTAGTCCGGTATTTGCCGACAAATTATCATGTGATTCTCATTGATCTGCCCGGCCATGGAGAGTCAAAGCCAAATGATGATAAATCAGATTACAGACCTTCAGTTTTGGTTGATTATGTTCATAAGGTAAATTGTGTTGGATAATAAGTACCATTGAAGAAATCCAATCTTCCCTTGATGAGTAAAATCATCTGGCATTAGACAGAGTAAAATAATAAAGTATTAACAGGTTGCATGGGCAGATAGTTTGATTGACCCATTGAGTGCTGGCACTGTCCCCTTGATGGTCTTGATGAGTAAAATTGTCTCGTATTAGACTGGGTAAAATAATAAAGGTAAGGTACATTTGGGCAGTTGATAAGCCAGCAAATTCTAAAAAAATGTTTAATTTAGCTTAGTAATTAACACTGGAGCAATAGGGGACAAATCTTACTGGTGCTGTAGCAAAAACAATTTAGAACTGGTAGAGCTATCCTATATGTTTCCTTGTGTAGTAATGTTGGACATTTACTAAGGGATGAACCTTATTTGGACGTCTAGGGAGCAACGTTTGGAACTCATGGAGCTATCCAGCATACCAAGTAAATAAATGTAGTTGGGTTTAGTTTGAAAATGTTTAAATCTGTTTTTCTTAGTTTGTCAAGGCTTATGGTTTTGGGGATAGAAAGTTGTGCATGATTGGCTCATCGATGGGTGGGGCAATCGCTGGTATATATGCTGCAAGATATAGTGACGAGTCATTATCGTCTGTTGTGCTGGTTTGCCCTGCTGGAATTCATTCTCCTGAAGTGACTGAATTTTTGAAGAAGTCTCATGATGATCTTGGCAAGAATGTGGAAGGGAGTGTTTTGTTACCAAACACCACACAAGAGTTTAATGACATGCTACATTTAGTTATGTATCATAAGATCAATATGCCATCAAATATTGCAATGGCTTTTCTTGAATTGAAACAAATGAAAGCTGATGTTCATAAAAAAGGTAAAGTTTTGTGATGCAGACACCTCTCTAATAAAGACACCTCTCTAATACAGACATCTCTCTAATACAGACACCTCTCTAATACAGACACCTCTCTAATACAGACACCTCTCTAATACAGACACCTCTCTAATACAGACACCTCTCTAATAAAGACATCTCTCTAATACAGACACCTCTCTAATAAAGACACCTCTCTAATACAGACACCTCTCTAATGCAGATATCTCTCTAATACAGACACCTCTCTAATACAGACACCTCTCTAATACAGACACCTCTCTAATACAGACACCTCTCTAATACAGACACCTCTCTAATACAGACACATCTCTAATACAGACACCTATCTAATACAGACACCTCTCTAATATAGATACCTCTCTAATACAGAAACCTCTCTAATACAGACACCTCTCTAATACAGACACCTCTCTAATACAGACACCTCTCTAATACAACATCTCTCTAATACAACATCTCTCTAATACAGAAACCTCTCTAATACCAAAACCTCTCTAATACAGAAACCTCTCTAATACAGAAACCTCTCTAATACAGAAACCTCTCTAATACAGAAACCTCTCTAATATAGACATCTTTTTAATATAGACACCTCTTTAATACAGACATCTCTCTAATACAGACATCTCTCTAATATGAACAGATGATAAACTATTTTCTTCCTTTCTTAGTTATGAGTGATATGAAGATCGATGGTGAATATTTGATGTTGGATAAAGTTCTTGAAGAAATTCAACATCCAGTGCTGTGTGTTTGGGGAGAAAATGACCAGGTCTGAATTCAACTCGATAGTTGTGTGCGTTTATGTGGAAAATACCAGCCCAGTTTAAGTGAGATAGAGAGCCAGGTACCCCCCCCCTCTCCACCCTGATTTATTTTTATTATCATAACAGGCCTAGAAGAGAAACCAACACTAGTTTTCAAGCGTGGGGAAGTTGGGTAACCTGAGTAAATCTCTGCCCTTGACCTACGATAGCAAGCGTGAGGGAGGATTTCCACTTACAGAGAAATATTTTGCTTGATTTCTTTTCAATTGTGACCATCCAAATAAATCACTTGACCACTCACAATTCAAAAGAGATCGAGCTAAAAATTTTGACAGCGATATTTTTCTTGCAAGTGGAAATCCAGCATAATTCAGGGGGAAGGGGCACTATGCTGACCATGCCCCCTGCCCCCCCCCTCCCCGCTTGCCCATGCTTCCCCTCAACATTGTTCTTTTCATATTGTTTCAGATTCTACATGTATCTGGTAGCATCGTTATAAAACAACGTGTGAAAAATGCAGAGATTCACGTGTTGGATAGATGTGGCCATGCTGTGACATTAGACAGACCTAGGAAACTTGTCAAGATCATCACTCGTTTCTTGGAAAAAGTTACAACAACAACTTAATTATAACATCTGAAAATTTTTTGAGAATTTTTACTTGTGATTTAAGGAATTTATAATAAGCCCTAGCTCCACATACGAAGAAAATTCAACAGAAATGACTGTTTAATCAATGTATGTACAATTTAGATAAAATTCCTGTCTTGAATTATACAGAACCATTAGCTTTGATTTTCTTGGATTACAATTTGTAAACATGTTACGTGTGCCTCGAGCCTGTTTGTCCTCTTTTGTAAATTTTGATTCCAGCTTGCTGCAAATTTTATGTCTGACTGTTTATTGAAAATATTTTTCAAGGTAAGATGAAAGTTTGATCACAAATAACAATGTGTTTTGGTTGAATTATTTTACCCATTGCAACAAATGAATCAACCCCCCAAATTTCAGGGGTTTTTATTTGGGGGAATTCCCCCTCCTATTGTCATAAACCCAGACATAATTTCCTATGCTCACCTTTTTCCAAGTGAGGGGATAGAAACACTGATATGTGGCTTTACCAACTGAACCTGGCAATCCCCCGCCGCAAAATTCCTTTAATTAAACTTATTACCAAATATACAATGTGCCAGGTTCTGCCTGTTCGCAGGCTAGTAATGGAAATGAATGAGTTTATAGATTTTTTTGCTCACGTTTTTGTTGTATTTTTTATGATATTTCGTACGTGAACGTCTTTAGTTTTCTTGTATTATTAGACTTTGAATACAGTTATGTCGCTGGGAACAATTACAGAGATTCAAGTGAGAGATATTCGCTTCCCCACCTCCAAAGAGTCTCACGGCTCGGATGCTGTGGTGAGCATGTGATATTATTAAATATTTAATTTCGAAGTATTATCGAGTATATTAATTTATAATATATTTATTTTTGAACTCTACACACGTAAAAATGCACAAGTTGTTCTCCTTGACCAGCAAAATCTGGCGTTTATAGATACTGTAAAATATAAAGTAGTGTGGACTGGGTTAATTGTTAAACTTTAATTTTATTTGTTTGTAATTTGATCAAGCATAAAGATCCAGATTATTCAGCAGCTTATGTCATCATCAAAACTGACAGATCTGATGGTCTGTGTGGATATGGTTTAGCTTTTACTTTGGGACGTGGCACAGAAATTGGTGGGTTAATATAGATATTCTGACACTCGCATGATTAATTTATTAGGTACCATTACCTATTGGATGGTATATTGGTACCTTGGGGTGCCAGAGGTTCTTCCATGCTTGCAGGGGGATAAAGTGGGATGCACAAGGATGCAAGCTGGATCCTTCATTATCCCTGCAAGTGTGGAAGAACCTCTGGCACCCAGGGTAATTGGATGGAGGTTGGGTTAGAGATTACAAGAATATAACTGACATGTTTGCTTTCATAAGCATTCATACATTACAGTTGTTTAATGGATCAGCCCTTGCTAGTGATGTCACAAAACATGTAGACCATGAGCATTGCTGTCCCTCGGAAGAAAGAAGGGACTGCCGACAACGCATCAAGAAACAAAATGTGTGTTTGTTGCCCACACAAAGCAAAATTCCCATTGGTTGAAATCGACATGCCTGTCAATCAAATCTGATATGTAGTAATTATGCTATAAATAATTTCCTATAAAATCAACATTTTATAAATAAACATGACATTGACAGTTCCTATTGGATAGATTTAATTGGATATAAGTAATGTTTATGCAAAGGCGGAGCCAACTTAATGTGTTGTTGGCAGTCCATCCTTTCCCCTCGCACACCAGGGAAGCTAAACCCTTGGAAAGGAGGGACCGGTCGCAGTCCACAAAACATATTTTGACATGGATTTTAAAATGTAATTGTTTGACTCCACCATTTTGAGTGGCATCAACCTCATACCCAGGGCTTAGCCTTGAGCAGACCCGGGGTACAAGGTTGGAGTAGCATATGTTTATTAAAAATCTGAAAAAAGCATGGACTTTGTCAATCAGTCGTTATTACTAAAATCACTTTCTTTTTTTAACCACTGTTTTCCCCTCTTGTTTAGTTGTTGTTGCAGTTAAGGCATTCATACCTTTTGTCACTGGAGTGTCTCTAGATGAAATATTTGATGACTTTGCATCTTTCTGGAGGTCTCTCGTCAATGAAAGTCAATTACGATGGGTGGGTCTACTGTTACAGCTCAAACAGACAAACCAAGGCCACTTTTGCATATTAATTCTTTATGTTTTTATGCAAAAGTGCACTCGGTTTGCCATTTCGGGCTATATAATTATAAACATTTAATTATAACAATAATAATTATGTATTATAATTATTGCACCAATATCAAAATATGTGAAAATTTTAATTTGAAAATTATAGTGCAACAGAATGTTGTATTTAAATTATACACATCTAATATTTGTGTTACATTATAGATTGGTCCAGAAAAGGGGGCTATACATACGGCACTTGCTGGCATTATAAATGCATTATGGGATTTGTGGGCAAGAATAGAAGGAAAGGTGATTAAGATTTATAAATCAAACCAAATAAAATCAATAGCTTGATTTTTAACAAATGTTTTTTATTTACAGTAACATGATAAATTTTTGATATTTTTTAAGCCTCTTTGGAAATTACTAGGTGACATGGTATGTTCAATCATGTATATGATTTTTGTAAATTTACATGTGTGTATGAGTACAAATATTTGTACTGTATTTTATAGGATCCTGAAAAATTAATATCAACAATTGACTTTCATCACATGTAAGTTAAAAGTTCAAGTATTTATCTGACCAGCTGCACAATAATAATAATAACCTCTTTTATTTCAATTCTGTAGCGACGATGCTTTAACAAAAGAGGAAGCTTTAGGTGCGCACTGTGTATATTTCTTATATAAATTTATCCTTAAATTTTCCCATATGAAATTGGATGTTCAATTGATTAATGCCACCCTAAATTCTTCGTTTAGAAATCCTAAGAAAGAATTCATCTTCAAAAAACGAAAGAGGTGTGTTTAACCCTTTAACCTGATGCACCCACTAAATTATTTTACTCTGTCTAATGCCAGATTATTTTATTTTGTCTTATGCCAAACGATTTTACTCGTCAAGGGCAGAGTGCTGGCACTCGATGGGTTAATGATGAATGTTAATTGTACATTATTTATCCTCAATATGTTCATGCAGTAATTGTGACATTTTTTTCCCAGAACAGTATGTTTTGAAGCATGGTTATCCAGCATACATCACTTCTGTTGGTTGGCTTGGTTACAATCAAGACAAAATACAAAATCTTTGTCAAAAAGCTTTGGCAGAAGGGTGGACAAGGTATTGATATATAATTTATACTACATAGAGGAAAAAACTCAATGAGAATGGTATAGAATTATGTAGTTTATTTTGTAAGTTATAAATTAAAATAAACAATTTAACTATAGGTAATAGGAGTAATTGTTTTTGTTTCAGATTTAAAATGAAAGTTGGTGTGAACATAGAGAATGACATCGCGAGAGCTTCAACAATACGTGATGTGATTGGCTGGGAGAATGATTTGGTTAGTTCAGATCATTGTACACATTCGCGCAAGCCATAGTACCTGGGTATGAAGCAGTTCAGCATGCTTATATATAGTATATATGTGAATAGTACCTGGGTACAAAGCAGTTCAGCATGCTTATATAGTATATATATGACCACAAGGCATCCAAACAATATGTGATGTTTTTTTTGTATTTTTGTTTTATTTAGATGATGGATGCAAACCAAGTCTGGAATGTAAAAGACGCCATTTCCAACATGAAAAAACTTGCTCGTTTCAAACCAAAATTTATCGAGGAGCCAACACACCCGGATGACATTCTGGGTCATGCGGCTATAGCCGAGGCTCTAATCTCCGAGGGTATTGGTGTAGCTACCGGAGAAACATGCCCGAATCGAGTTATGTTCAAGCAATATATACAAGGCAAAGGTCTACAATATTGTCAAATTGATAGTTGTCGTATGGCTGGTTTAAATGAAGTCTTTGCAGTTCTTTTGTTGGCAGCTAAATTTCAAGGTACAAAACAGTATGAAAAGTCTCTTTATTCCCTTGGAAACTATGGATACTTTGTCAGTCAGTTGGTTGGTTGGTTGGTCAGGCGGTTTGTTGGTCAGTCAGTTGGTCAGTCGGTTAGTCAGTCAACAGTCAGTTGGTCAGTCGGTTAGTCAGTCAACAGTCAGTTGGTCAGTCAGTTAGTCAGTCAACAGTCAGTTGGTCAGTCGGTTAGTCAGTCAACAGTCAGTTGGTCAGTCGGTTAGTCAGTCAGTTGGTCAGTCGGTTAGTCAGTCGGTTGGTCATTCGGTTGGTCAGTCGGTTAGTCAGTCAACAGTCAGTTGGTCAGTCGGTTAGTCAGTCAACAGTCAGTTGGTCAGTCGGTTAGTCAGTCAACAGTCAGTTGGTCAGTCGGTTAGTCAGTCGGTTGGTCATTCAGTTGGTCAGTCGGTTAGTCAGTCAACAGTCAGTTGGTCAGTCGGTTGGTCATTCGGTTGGTCAGTCGGTTAGTCAGTCAACAGTCGGTTGGTCAGTCGGTTAGTCAGTCAACAGTCGGTTGGTCAGTCGGTTAGTCAGTCGGTTGGTCATTTGGTTGGTCAGTCGATTAGTCGGTCAACAGTCGGTTGGTTAGTCAGTTGGTCAGTCGGTTAGTCAGTCGGTTGGTCAGTCAGTTGGTCGGTCGGTTAGTCAGTCAACAGTCTGTTGGTTAGTCGGTTAGTCAGTCCGTTGGTCATTCTGTTGGTCAGTCGGTTAGTCAGTCAACAGTCAGTCGGTCGGTCGGTCGGTCGGTCGGTTGGTCGGTCGGTTGGTCAGTCGGTCGGTCGGTTAGTCAGTCAACAGTCAGTTGGTCAATTGGTTGGTCGGTCTGTTGGTTGGTTGGTCAGTTAGTCAGTCAACAGTCAGTTGGTCGGTCGGTCGATTAGTCAGTCGGTTGGTTGGTCAGACAGTCATTCAGTCGGTTGGTTGGTTGGTCAATCAATCAGTCACAGGTTGATTGGTTGGTCCAACAGTCGGTCATCACCTTCAAGTTTGTTTGTTTAGTTCCTGTGTGGCCCCATGCTGGTGGTCTGGGATTATGTGAGATGGTTCAACATATATCAATATTTGATTACATATCTGTTTCACCAACACTGGAGAACAAGTAAGTCTATAGATCGCTTTCATTAATTGCACACAATCTATATAGATTTTTATAAAGAATGCACTTTTGTGAGAAATTTTTGTTATATTAAATCTACAAAGTAGAAACCTTACGTAATGACATACACTTGGGTATATTTCCTTGTTTAGAGCGACAGAGTATGCCAGCCATTTACATGAACATTTCTTGAGTCCAGCTCTTGTAAAGGATGGGGCATATTTAGCTCCTCAGGTAGGAAATAACTTTCTTTACACTGGGTAGCTCTATCAGTTCTAAATTGTTCTCCCCAAGGAACCAAGTAAGGATCATCTCTTAGTGGTTGAGTGTTGCTACAGGAGGAAACCAGAGTACTGTGGTGTTGGGTACAGTACGTAGAGTACATTTTAATCAGACAACTGCAAATGTGATGGAGTATCTTCAAACAATGTAGTTTAGTTCAGGTTTCCTCCTGTAGTAACACTGTAGCAATAAAAGATATCATAGTATGTTCTGTAGATAAAATTCCTGTTTTCGCTTCCAGTCCCCAGGTTACAGCACGGAAATGTTAACGTCGTCATTAGATGAGTATGAATATCCCAATGGCAATTATTGGCAGGAAAATAAAGTAGAGCCCAGACCTCCTGATGATCTCGCGCGGTTTAAGAGAAGAAGACAACAAAATAATAAGTGAAATTTAAAATTATGTTTTGCATCGTGATAGCGGATATAAATTATGATGATTATTTTGAATAGATAGAGCATATAAATTGTATAGTAATAATTATTTTCATAGCCAAATTATTTTCGCATACCTAAATTTTTTTATACCCAATTTACAACATTGGATAACTCACTCACATGTACTAGATAAAACATGAGCAGCCAATCTTTATCTGATATAAAAACTCAAGCCGAAAGCGAGAGTTTGTATATCAGATACAGATCGGATGAGAATGTTTTAACGTGCTTAAAAAACGACCCATCGTATGAGTTCATTGGCGAAGTAATTTTAAAAAGAAACATTGTCCAAGCCGAGAAAATCAAAGCTGAAGTTTATGTAAATCAGGACAAATCTTTATCCGATTTATAAACATTGATTAAACATTCATTTCTTTTGTATTTTCCTCTTGAATTATTAATGATTTTTAAGTCTAGTTACAGAAGCATAGAATTACGTGAGTGAATAACTCGTGTACATAATGCTTAGTCACCTTTGTTGCCCACTATAGTGATATATCAATTTGCCGCGAGCTTTCATAACTGGAAAAAAGCACGGGCCATGTTTTCTATTCTAAAACTTACATTGTATGTCAAAAGTAGTTGAAACAAAGAAAATCCATTGATACCAATCGCCTGTAAACACCTGATCAACAAACGTTGGTCCTAGGTGTGGCTATTCAGGGATCAACGGTCAGCTTTTTGTGATTTCGTCTTTGAAAGGAACTGCAGCAGGTGCATGAGCCAATGTTATAATTAATATCCTGTGTTTAATGTTTGTGTTTACTCAACTTGATTAAGAAATGACGAGCTTAATAATGAACCATTTCACAGCTCAATCAAACGCTTTCACTTCCTATTGTTCATGCTTTAAATGCGTTAAGTAACTGATGCGTAAAATTATAAAACATTGGGGGAGTTTAAGCCTATTATATCTGGTTTACACTATCAAAGTTTCTGTGATCACAGTAGGAATTTTGCATAGGTAAGCTTTAAGTTTTGAAGGATTTGTAAGAACATTGATTCATTTAACATCGATTCAGTTTGCTCAAATATTTCATACAAATCCTTCAAAACTTAGAATTTAGGCATATGCAAAATTCCTACTGTGATCACAGAAACTTTGAAAGTGTAACACAGCCTTAAGTCGATCAATACGCGTATGAAGCATTCATTTTCAAAGAAGAGAAATAGAAATTTATTTGACTTCTGCATTTTCTATACATGAATTTCTTTGAAATATATGTATAGTTATATTTGATATTTACATGTCAGAATGAATTTAAGATGTATAGCTAAACTAACACAATTTGTAGTTTCCAGAACGCATCCAAGTGCTGCTGTTTCCGTCGGGATAAAATTTTTACTTAATCATAACATGTATAGCTGAGGAGAATTAAAATATCCCTTCTGATTCCATTAGCGCTTTTTCTCGACGAAACGCGAAAATTTTCCTGGGAAAAAATTGACCGCATGCGCAGTAAAGATAAATTAGATTTTGCGAGAAAAATTTCGCATCGCCAGTGAGGCTATGCTTCCACTATATTGGATAGCTTTCCGTAGCGGCGCGAAAAAGCATCTATCCCATACGGAATGTACAACTTTCAGAAGCTGAGCAAAACAACATCTCTCCGTTGCAATAATTCCTCTGAAAATAGCGTTCCTAAAAGGTATGGTTTTTCATGTCGCTACGGAAATCTATCAGGTGCAATGTAAACGCAGCCTGAATACTTTGATGTGCATATATTAAATCAGCTACATATTATGATTCGACTGCAATTTTATCTCGATATGCTTCGCGTCACTTGTATGCGCTATTGCTTAAAAGTACCAGATCATTTTAATATCCTATCAGTAATTGGAAAAATATCCTTCAAATTCTCGTTCAATGTCCTCATTGTTCACTGCGTCACCCCTTTTCACCCCGTTTATCCGGCGATATCCCGAGTCTCTAACTCTATTCCTATCTTCTCGTCTCGCTAGTTTAGCTTTGATTTCATCGCTACTGCACCAAATCCCAGGTCGGCAACGTGAACGAAGGCCGGTACAAAGTACCCCAAGAAACACTACCATTAAAACAACGATTCCAGCTTTTTTCATCTGAAAATACAATAAAAAATATTAGGATGGCTTGGTGTGCTTCAAAATTCCTTTATATACCTTGAGAGAACAGTTTAGAACTGATAGACTCAACGATTGTTCAAGCTCTAAAAAGACCTCGAAAATGTACTTGTATGTACTCACCTTTGTTTAGAATATAAGATTTAAGAAAGTCTAAGTTTAACTTTGAAATGAACGCCTTTTTAGCCTGTTTACAACACTTAACGTTAAGCTCCTGTATTTTAACCTTGCCTTGTTGAAGCTCAAGCAAAAACCATCTGTTTAACTCTTTCCATCCTGATGCTCCTTAAATAGTCTAATCATGGCTAGCAATTTAAATATTTATAATGAAGATAAGTCAATATATATGGCTTTGTATCTTGAGTAACGACGTAAGCCGCAACATGGCAGGTGTATCAGATAAAAGCTTGTTTATTGTTTCGCCTCTACAGGAACAAATATTGAAGTTGGACAGTTTAACTTGCGGCGCCTTTGCCGCCTTTAATGATTGCTGTAAAATGTTCAACTTTTGCGCGTTTTGTTTTTATTAACACCTGCATTGAAAAAGGCAACTAATCTGCGTCTAAAAGTCTTTCGTAATACAAAATATTGAAATTTAGAGAAGCAAATTGGAAATGATTCTATTTGATAGCATGTACATTATGTATTAGCCATTACGGCATTAGATTCGTTGTTACAGGTATACGTATAAAGAAACTGTCCTGCTTATTTTGCATTCACTTCGGTTTGGGTGGCTTGGAATTTTAAGAAGAACTTTGATGAAAATGTTAAGTATATCCAAATGCCAGGGTGCATTCCATGCATGTTTTGTGGAAGATATTCGGCGTGAGTTTTGAATTGCTGGCGCACAATCACGTCGAGGTTGGCGCACAATTTTTCAGTTTTGGTGGTTGGCGCAGCATCAAATGTTTAAGCGAGACTTTGAGTATTAATAATCGCCTGGTGATTGGATTGGCCTCTATAATTCTTTAGGGACTCGAGAAATTTGTGTTCCTGGTTGTAATAGTAGCTAAATGGTGGTTATAACTTGTGATACAACAGTAACAACACTCGTCATTGCTCATCAGCAAAACATTTTATTCATCAGTTACACGCCTTTTTAGCAAGTTTAAATTTTAAGCAACTAACTATTAATGAAAAATCATGGTGCCCGCGATCAACCAGCGCATAAGTTGGCCTCACTTGGCGCACGGTAACATTACCTCAGATTATCTTCGGCGTGAGGTTTGGAATGTCCAAATGTCATTTCTACAGTGAGGGACAATAATTTAAGGGCGTATTCCATAGGGCGCAGTGCGGTGAATTATTTCTGCATGTGTTCATTAATATCCCGCTTCGGCGAGACGCCGGACATTATGTAAACATGACGTCTTCGAAATCTTTTTTGTTGTAATTAAACAAACTTCAGCTTGTATTACGACTTTAATAGTGTCTGTTTTGGTATATGAATGTCTATCTTTTGTTAGAATTTTTCAACTTTCCCGTTCAATACTATATCATGGGTCAAAATCGGCAAAAATGTCCATTTCGGTCATGTGGGATCAAGCCTAATTCATATGGATAATTTTATCCCACTTCACTTGCCCGTGATGCCACCTATAGCGCGGCAAGCCACTAGTAAGGCGGCTAGCTCGTTTCTCGTGTGAACACAACTTGAATTTTTTATGCGTTAATAAGAAAGGCATGTCGCTTTCCCGGCCAACCGGCCTCTCAAACAGTTTTGTTCTGTTTCAAAATGGGCGAAATAAAAACTGCGCACGGGAAATTTCGCATTTAGGGCGCGCGATTAAAATAAATCGCGCGCGACATGAATTTAAATATAAACATATGAGAAGGTTTCTGAGTGAGTTTTGTGTGAAGAAAGTTTATAAAGTCGCTTTCTTCCAGTTCGTTTAAGTTTACGTGTATTATATATCATGTACATGATCTTAAAAGATAATTTTAATTAAGATATCATAACAAACCTGACGTTATTATAAACACAAATAACAAGCCTTTAATCACTTAGATTAAAATCTAACCCTCCCATGAAAGCTGGCGTTTTGTGTCTGTTTCATTGCATTATTGCTCAAGCGCCTTTTTGATGCAGAAATTAGCAGTTTTACCCTTGTTTGCGCGTCATTGTATACTTGATTTGACTTGTCGATAGACGATACACCAAAAAGGTGAATAAATTACTCGAGCCTCTTCAAAATATATATATGATTTATATGTGGTCACTGGATTCTTTTTTTTTCGTAGAAAATGCGTTATCGCTATGCATGGATATAAATCTTTAACTTTTTAGTGTTTGGTAAACTCCAGACTGTAAAGTTTTGGCTTTGGAGGAGATTAATTTCTACACAAAATGCCTTTGTGAACCACGAACCAAGCAGATTTCTGATCTTGTCAAAAGTCTGACTGCCGCATCCCTTGGTCTGCCATACATTTTCCGCTGTGAAATATCTGATATTTCTGCGCAATTTTTCCAAGGAAAAATTATTTCTTGCGCAAAATAAAACTTTCCATCATCCTTTCCATCATAATTTTTTCTTCATGTATTTTAATACTATAGTTTGTCAATGAACTCGATTTCAGAAGAAAACATTGTTCTCTATTGTCTCACAATCTTATTGAACATGACACATTAGTTTTTGTGTAGGCCCTATTAACGCGTTGTTTACAGACTTCACACAAAAGTGCTAACAACTCTATTATACTACGCTTTTTATGCGCGTCAAAATTCATTTCCACCTCCACGTATTTAAAAAAAAAAACGAGCTAAAAAGGCTTTGTCTGTTTAAAACCAGTTGGCGTTTTTGTTTTGTCTTTGTATACAATTAGTTTTTGCTTCGATTTATATTTGGTTCTATTCTGTGCGACAACGTGGCGGCCAAAATCAACTGCTCAAATAAAGCCGAATTTTAATCCAAATTTTCGTGAATTTGAAGTAATGCTGACGTGAGCACTGGAAAACTGAAAGAGTTGGACAAATTGTAGCTATCGACTCAATTGTAGCTTTGATAATTTAGATTTTAGAATTTTACATGTGGAAAGAAAGTAATCATTCAGTGCGAGACCACTTTAAAGCCATTAAGTGATGTTAATTACAAGAATTCTTCATAGTCAAGTGTCTCTTACGAAGGCAGAATGAAAATTGAAACCTTTTATGTAAATTCAAATGTTAAAACTGATAAAATAGCACTATAGATATATAGCCGATAAATTCGTCCGCTTGCATAGCAACCATTTCACTAATACCTCAAAGCTTTGCACACTTAATTCATAAATTCCATATATTATATTGAATGTTTTATGAACAAGGGATTCGGTATTATAAAGCCTTGTTTACACTTGCAATTTTCGCTGCGATTTTAGATTGCATTAGATGCGATTTTCTCCTTCTAATGGATGTAAACGACTGGATGGCATTATCAGACTTGTTACAAGGTTGTTCTAACAGGCCTGATCAATGTTGTTATATCATGACTGTATCGGTCTTGAACAAGTCTGATCATATCAACAAGGTTGTTACAAGTTGTTAACAGATTGTTCCAAACTTGTTGACAACTTGGGACAAGCACAATTTGTCGAGGGCTTGTTGGCAGAGTTGCTACAAGATGTGATATTTTTGCATGTGTTATAAAGCGAAACCGCTTTCGTTCGCCTCGCCAACGTGACGGATTCCCAATCTTGTATATCTTGCTTTAATGACGGCCTAATGAGATATTCAACAACGCTAATGACTTCGTCTTCAATCCTTAACGATGTTTAATTTTTACTTTGCCTCAAAATAAACCACGATAAGCAAGTTTATATAACAACAAAACGCATAAATGATTAAAGAATACAGGGCTAGGGGAATTTGCGTTGTAATGATTTTATTGGCTTATTCTCAATAATTTTGTAACTATTTTTGAAGTTTACAGTGCAGTTTATAAACTGAACTAAATATATCATGATTTTAATATTTGCTATCCAATGACTTTTCACTGACATATATTTGATAAAGAAAAATTCAGAAAAAGGCGCACAAAGGAATCGAACGTCGACGATTTTAAGATAAATTTTTATCTATGTATTCATGTATCCCCATTATAGCAAGCTTATGTCCTTTTTGAATACGTATCGGCCAGAAAAAGGCCCCTTAGATGGCATCATCGTTTGTCAAATCTCCGTGAAGATAATCTGACTGTCGAATATACAGGCATATGTCAGTAGTCTGTCAAGTTTAAGAATTAGTGAATATATCCTGATGTCCAAGTAATTTGATAAACTTCAGATAAAAGTAGAACCAAGTTGAATGCTCTACACACACAAAAGTCTCGCATCTTGTAGCAAGTCTGTCAACAAGTTGTCTTCGCACTTCTTGTCCCAAGTTGTCAACAAGTTTGGAACATACTGTTAACAACTTGTAACAACCTTGTTGATATTATTAGACTTGTTGCAAGGTTGTTCCAACAAGTCCGATACATAGTGTTCTCTGCACTAGTGCAAGTCGACCCATAAAGTACACGTGTAAAAATGTCACATCTTGTTGCAAGTCTGCCAACAAGCTGTCAACAAGTTGTGTTCCCACTGCTTGTCCCAAGTTGTCAACAAATATGGAACAATCTGTTAACAACTTGTAACAACATTGTTGATATTATCAGACTTATTGCAAGGTTGTTCCAACAAGTCCGATACAGTCATGATATAACAATATTGTTACAACCTTGTGTCATCAACCTTGTAACATTCTTGTTATATCATGACTGTATCGGGCTTGTTGGAACAACCTTGTAACAAGTCTGATAATGCCATCAAGCTTGTCACAAGTTGTTAACAGCTTGTTCCAAACTTGTTACAACAACTGGGAACAAGCAGTGCGAACACAACTTGTTGACAGCTTGTGAACATATTTGTAACAACTTGTTTGCAGACTTGTTGTTACAACTTGTGCGTTTTTACGTGTGTAGCTGGTAAAAAAAACGAAAATTATTTGATGTGATGTGCGTACGCACGTGCCTATTTTTATGTTAAATCCTAGTTAAATACTTCTCATTCACATTTACATGACGTACTTCGCAGGTTGAAAAACATGGCGGATTTGAAATTGTGTTTAATTAATATAGTTCAATATTTTGTAAGTACTATGGTACATGTATGTATTTTGATGATTAAATAATAATATTATGTACTAAATCATGTTTTTTTCTAGGGTAAACATGTCTGATAGTGATGGCTTCACGTTAGTAAAATATAAATATCCAAAACAAAATAAGTTTAAGAAGAAAAATGGAAATCTCAAAGATTTTTCAACTTTTGCACCAACGTCCAAAAACGATAAACAGTTCGACCTTGTCTTGAACAATATAAATGAATACAAAATTGAGCTACAGGACAGTCCATTTTATAAAGAACTTATTTCATCAGTGTCAAAAATACTTTCAACAAATTCTGAGAAAATTTCTATAAAATTCCAAGATTTTGTGTGCTATGGAATTGGGAAAATATCAGAATGTCCGACGTCTAGATACCAGTTTGCGTTATTGGTGTTGCTATGGCAACAATTCAAGCCTTCTGGGAAGTGTTCTATCTATGATCCTGTTTTTGGAAATCTTGACCAACAAATTTGTGAACATTTTGAACTGGAGTTAATTGCTAGAAACGAGGAAGCAAAGCGAAAAGTTTCACAGAAAACTTTGTTTTTTGTACCACATGGTGGTAAGCCACTTTATAATAATATTCTCTGGGCAAATTGGGGTGCTGGCTTGGAAAATGTTGTCATTTTTGGAAATAGTTTCACAAGTTATCAAGAACGAATACCATCACGTCAACTTGAGATTGAAGCAAGGTATATAGCTCAGATTGTGCCGGTAACGCATGAAATTAGGTTGCGATGCTTGTTTCATGATGATGATGTATTCAATGATATGTCATTGCATCATTTTGTGGCTGATGAACTTCGTGAGCAACCATCTTCATTCTGGCAAGACTGCAAGGAACCAATTTATGAAGATAATAACATGGAAATCATTTTGAATGTAGCATAGTTTGGTATTTTGTCACGAAATATAACCTTTACAAACAGTGGTCACACTTTTGATTATGGCATCTCTCGAATACAGACATCTCTCCAATACAGACACCTACCTCTTTAAATACAGACACCTCTCTAATACAGACACCTCTCTAATACAGACACCTCTCTAATACAGACACCTCTCTAGACACCACACCTCTCTAATATAGTCTGCAGATTCTTTACAATCAAAAGAGAAAATTCACTTCAAATATTTTTTATTTCACATTATTTACAAACACAGTACATAATTTATAGGTGTACCTACATATTAGAACTACAATGTTACAATTGATGATATTGTGTAAAGTACATCTGTCTGGTATCTCAATTGTATTCCACCAGTAAAACAATCTCGTACCTAGAGCAATGCCTGTGTGCGGGCTAGGATGGCATTGGCTCTGGGGAAATTGACAACCGGAAACCCTAAATTTAGGGGTTCCGGTTCTTTGTCGGCATGCACGATTGATAAACGTTAAACCAATCACAGCACAGGAAAAATTCAATTTCCCCAGAGCCAATGCCATCCTAGCCCGTGCACAGGCATTGCTGTGGGTACGAGATTGCCAGTAAAACTGAAACATTTAATTATTTCACTACATTTTCCCTTTGTTCTATTCATGCAATGCTCACATGTGCTGTACTTTCACACGCAAGTTTCACACAAGACGAAGCCATACACACCATCAATGATCAATTGCATGTAAGAATGAACAATCGTAGATAAACCTATTGTCTGCTCCCACATTACATTAAAAACATTGATTAAAAGTTTTATGTATTGTTAGACAATATTTTTATCTGCGTGTTTCACCCATGGGCGGATTTACTGGGGGGTTAAACCCCTCCTAGAATCTCTCTAACCCCTCTTATAAAATGTTCAACCCCACCAAATTTCGCTTCACCTCTCCTATTCTGTCATGTATGAAAATCTTTAAGCCTAACCCCTGCCAAAGCTCACTCAGTGCTGCCGCTTGCAACCCACTAGAAATTTTTCCGCCCCCCCTGTTTTAAAAAAATGAAAATCCGCCCTTTGTTTCACCCTAAGACACTAACTGCTAATCTAGGTGCTTAGTGATCCTTCTGGATTGGATTGTAGTCTGTATTTACATGTTGAAGGAAATCTTGTGAATTGACCATTTCACAATAGAACCTGAATTATTTTTGTTATTTCATACTGTATCATCTGAAAAATTTAAAATAAGAAAAATTAGAAAAAATCAGTGATATACAATTTTAGAAGTTGTTCTCTGCAATAAACACAAGTGACTTAGCATCCTATAAGAAATGTCTTACCATGATACCACCATCTTGTTTTCTTAGGATTCTTAGAACACGTTTTTACATAAAATTCATTATCAGGTGGAAGTTTCTAGGAAATATTAAGAGTATTAATTGACCTTTCCATCAGCCTTGTACCCAGGCGCTCCTGTGTGCAACGCTGTCAGGTGACGCACACATGTAAATTGTTACTGATATCCCGCGAAATTGCCTGTGTGCTCAACGGTATAACAATTCGAAGTGCCTGGGGCTGCCTTTCCATGCTTACAGCATGCATAATGCCAG